CTAGTCACCTCCTCTGTGGCCAGTTTCTCCCGCAGCTCCTGTTTGTAATTCTGGAATTGAAAGTGTTGAATCAGCAGCTCTTTACACTCAGGCTGCGGCAGCTGTGTCAGCATCAGCTCCGGGATGTCTTCTGAGCTCAGAGAAAGGTCAACCACACGTACCTGAGCCAAGATAGATGGATGGATCCCTACAGAACAAGAACAAGACAACTACTAACTAAACGTTTTCCAGAGAATTTCCAGAAGAGGATCTAGTTTACCTAGTCTCTACATTAACATTTGGTGTTAACCAAGACAAATGTCATTTATTTTACTTGCTCTACAGATAAAATCAGGAATGAAATCTGGTGTAAAGTTAAATTGTCGCCACTAATCAAACTAACCACTGTTAAGTAGTCTAATCGGCAGACATGTGCTGAGGAAGAGGCAAAACTCAGGATGGACCATCTGAATAGGTTGATTTAATCCTGGAAAGTAACATCCAGCAGGACGTGACAACTTGGCCAGGAATTGAGGATTGGGGATTGCACGCTCCACATGAGTAACCAGTACTCTCAAACCTACAAAACAAAAGATTAAAAATGATTATTATGGTGAAAAAAACAGACTATCAACCTTTACTCGTATTTTTCTTATGTCACCTCTCTCAGCAGCCTGGTCCAGCTTGTGCACCAGTTCCACGTCATCTCCACAAATGACCATCCCAAAATCTATTTCTTCCTCAAGTTTTGTGTTCTTTCCTGTTGAGTAGATATTTATCATACACTGGTCCAATACAATTCAGTCTTACATGGAGTTGTGTGATTTAAAAATCATAAAAAACAGTCTTTGTATAGAAATAAAAAGGGTAAGAAGCATGCGGTGGATAAAAAAATCAGCCACAGCAATCAAACCACTAACAGGTGAAGTGAGTAACTTTGCTTATCTTGTGTCACCTATGAAGGGTGCATATTAGGCAGAAAGTAAACAGTCAATTCTTAAAACTGATGTGTCACAAGTATAAAAACATGCACATGTTACATTGTAACAAATAAACTGTGATGGCTAGATAAAAGTCTCCAGAAAAGTCTTGTGGGATGTTCACTCTACACACAACTTCCTGTTTGCTATTTCATATCAATGTATCCATGTTGATCCTTGTAGACAAGCATCTACACTAGACACATGATTGTTGGAACTAAACAATAGAACAAGAGCAGAAGGGCTGGTCTGATGAATACCATTTACCATCTGGGGATGAGATGGCAGCATATTGAACTAAAAGAAGATAGCAGGCCAGTAGAGTCTCTGCCTTCTCTGTGCAGTGCTGGAAGAGCTGAGATTGCATTCATGCAGATACTACTTTTGCACATTCTACCTACATAAACACTGTTTACACCATGTACACCCTTTCATGGCGACAGTCTTTCCTATTGCCTCTTTCAGCGTACACATACAAAATGCTACACTTCAACAACTTCAACTTTGATGAATGTCCCAAAACTGTTCAAGGTCTTGACTCATCCAATCTGATCAAACATCTGTGGGATTTGTTAGAACAGCAAGTGCAATTCATGGAGGTCATATCTCACACGTTACACAATCTAATGGTCTTCTGCAAAGAAGCTAACCGATAATAGCACAGCACAACTTCAGAGGTTTTGTGGTGTTCATGCCTACATGAATCAGTCCTGTTTTAACTGACAAAGGGGAACCTACAAAATAATAGTTGGTTTTAATGGTTTCATGTTGTAGCTGGTCCAAGTAAATGCTACATGTGCAATTAATCATTTTGAAAATGTAGGCACATACCTGGGATGAGACTATTTGGAAAATTCATCTCCAGATGTTGCTGGCTGTCTACTAGTAGAGGCCAATGCTGGATGTAGGTACTTCTGTATCCACAAAGCAACAGCTTAACCACCAGCCTGGCAGAGAGAGTGTCTTCAGTTTGCCACTCATTCATCCCTAATGCCTGACCCAAAGGCAACTGCAATCTCTCAGTTACAGGGATGGGAAAACCAAGAGATAAGGAACCAGGTACAGTGTCTAACTGTGTAAACAGAGAGGTTCTGGGGTCGTTGGGGTTTATGTCGATGCTTCCTGTCTGGCACAGAGTCTGCCACTTGCGCAGCAGTTCTGTGCGTGTATCAGGTCCAAAAGGGCCTAAATACGAGACGGTCGCAGCCAAGAGGAGGGCGTCTCCTGGCACGTTTTGATTACGTACCTCTGTGTCCTGGGCAGAAAACGGAGAAAAAATAATTTACAATAAAGAAACATACAAAAATAAGTATGTTAAATGTGATATGTTAAAAGTGATGCACAATGTTTGCGAATTACCTGAGCAACAGCCCTCCAAACTTTGCCATACGTCTCACTCTGCCCAGCACATGCAGAAGCTTCTTGCTCTGCACTTTCAGCTTCGTGTAGCAGCATCAGTTGTTCCATTAGGTCATTTTGAACACACTGCAGATGAAGCTCAGTGGCCTCCAGTGAGCTGTATACCTCCTGCTTGCGCTGCTCGGCTCGATTCAACCGACTTCTCGTCTCTGCAGCCTGAACCTCCAACTGCTGCTTTAGGAACACTCGCTGCTGAACACAGCAGTACTCATACACAGCCTGGACCCATCGACAGAGGGATTCGCAGGCCTTACTGACCTCTCGCACAGCCTCAGGAACAAACTGGGGACTGTGAACTATCTGCCCAAGCTTTTGCAGCTGTTCATTCGTCAGGTTGTAGCGGTCAAAATATTCCAGTTCCTGCACAAGGAGACGTTAGTAAGACACTAAGATTAAAACCTCAAAGCTACATTGACAAAAAAACTGGAACATAACTACACAAACTGATAAATGATGGCACAACTTCAGATTTATCTTTACCCACTTATGACACGCTATTTAATTTACTGACCACTGCAATCAATGAAATCTGTAACAAATTTGCAGCAAGACATTTTTTTCCCACCTGGAAAAAGTCTGCTTGGGAAAGAAGTTGTTTAGCACTTTCCCAGCCCGGTGGATGACTAAACAGCAAACAAATAGCATCCATGACTTGCACAACTCCCACAGGTGGGTCTCTGTAGTGGCGCACCTCCTCCACATCCGATGGATCCAAACACTTAAGAATCTGAAGGCCTGACAAGAATGCAGGTTTTATCTGAGGAAAAAAATTACATGTGAACCTAAAGCTCATTTTTGTGTAACAATACTATTAAATGTTCCCATTTTTTTCTGTCAAACTACCTCAAATGAATAAAAAAGTATTTTATAATGAGCGAAGAAATGCTTTCAGTTATTTCAAGGATTTAGAGCTACTTATTGACCTGTTTTTGAGCCTGATTAATCTGCTCTTTCAGGTAACACAGTTGGTGTTCCTCTGCAGCGCACTTCTCACAGGCTTCCTCAAACAGTTTCTTATGATCTTCTACAGCTTGAAGGAGCTCTTTCTCACGCTGCAGGACAGAGAGGAGAGAGGCGTGGCGTGTATGTAGTTAAACAAATCATTTTTTGCTGCAGACGTGCTATAAACCGAATGCTGCTTATTTAAACTGAAATATTAGCTGAGGCTACTTTAGCATAACGTGTTCTTTAAAACGACATTTTTCCCTGATGTGTAGTATGTTCTACATAAGCATCTGAAGTGTGATGAACACACATATCTTTTAAATAACTTTTCAATGTGAATAACCTTGTGTAGTAGACAGGCAGACCAACAACTAAAACAGTACATGCTAAAGTTCTCCACTTTACCTGGTCTGTTTCAGAAACCATCTTCTGCACACTTATTAAGTGCTCTTTACGCTGCATGGATATGTTGTTCACTGCATCCAAACGAGACACAGCAGCAGCAATTCTAAATATATATATATATATATAAATATTATTGTGGACAAACATGGTCATTTCTGTTTAAAACATAATAGGATGTTAGCCTGCTGGTTTTGGTTACTGTGAGCTGTGTGACATTTTGTAGAGGATGTAGTCTGTGGTACAGTTGTGCTATAAATTTGTGCTTTTTGTACCAACTATAATTTGGCTTTAACAGGAAAAAAGGTGCTCACAGAAATATTTTCACAAATGTGTTGTTATATGTGCAGCAGGATAACAAACAATGGAGATAAAGGAAGGAAAAGAGGGAAACCTGTTGGCTTTGTCCTGGCACTGCTTGTGCAGGAGGCTGCAGAAGTAACCAAAGTGGGCAATGAACTCCATATAAGTCCGAGGACTGAAAGGCTGATTTCTTAGAAGGACAGAAGCATACTGGAATGCAGACCGATGGATCCCTGCCATAGCCACAGACAGGCTGGCCTCTGAGCTTTCTCGAACCACTTAATAAAAAGAAAAGGACAAAGGTAATGTCTCGCTACAGTCGAGAGAAAAACAAAAAAGAAGGGGTTTAGATTAATCCTGATGTTGTGTCTCACTTTTACAAGGGCTTGTTTTGAGGCACTGAACAGCAACTTCCACCAAAGACTGGTGAGACCACGGCTGGTACACCTCAACACAACAGCTGTGCCTGAGGGCCTTGGCCATTTGTCCCTATACAACAAATAATGTGCAAATTAAATTAAATTAAAAAATAAACCCTGAGCCAATTTGTAAAGTTGTTAGCTCTTTTGGCCACACTGCAGACTTTCAAAAGTAGTTTAGTATTTGAGTTGTTTTTTTGGTATGAAATAAATGCATAGGTTTCAATAAAAATACTTACAACCCAGCTTTGTGCTTCATTTTTGGAAGGTATGTCAGAGCTTTCTGACATGCTGTATGGCATTAGCAGGAATATGTGGATATTTCTGTGGACTTGACTCAAACGCCTTTGTTAAAAAAGAAAAACAGTACATCTGGTTTAAATGTTTTCACACATTGGCTTTAAAACTGACTGCAAAATATTTTTTTCCAATATATCCCTTCTTATAAATGTTTTTTCCAAATCTACAGTATAACTGAATGTTACATAAACATATACCATCACTTTACATACTGTATTTAAGTACATTTGAATTGACACTGACTATACCAAATGTATTTAGGTCTGTTTTGGGAGAGTTATGTGGTGCTAATCTATCTCTTAACATGATGAGCATTAGATCAGCTATTTTTCCTCTTACTTCTCAAACATCCAGTTGTCCATAAGATATCTTCGTGAGTATTTTGCTGCAGTCATTCTGGAAACAAGGTCCCTCAGCTCTTCGTCGGTGAAGAGTGCTGGACAGGCACCGTGAGCCATCGGTACCAGTAATTCTTCTCTGACAGACTGGCTGATGTCCTCATGGACCAGAATGATGACACTGATTCCATCCGACCTAGTCTTATTCCCAGCTTCTTTCAGGATTTCATGAAGATTATTTTGATTACCAGCATGTATCTCCAATAACTCATAGCCTGTAAGGTGGGCAGCTAAACGGACAGTGGTTTTGCGGCCTGTGCCCCTATCTGAGCCAATCAGCACTCCATGACCTCGAGGTAGCAGCAAAGCCCTGATAATGTGTAACAACTGACTCACCCTCTGTCTGTGTAAAATGTATTTGGTTGTGATGCTGCAGTCAGGTCCTTCACCTTCTTCTTTTCCGTCCGTGAGTACACACAGCTTTTGCACTAGCGTATCAAGGTCTTGCTCCTGATAAGAAGGGCTAAATTTAAAATATTGTTGCTGTTTTATCGACTTAAGGGCCTCAGAGAGATCAGGACCAAACGCAAGTTGTGCCATCGTGTCTTCCAAATACTGAAGAATCTGCGGTTGCTGAAAGATGTTTTCAGGCGTAGTTAATGCGCTGTGCAATTGGCTTTGCTGGTTTAGATCTTTAGGCAGATCTACAGGGTCTGTATTTTCACCTGCTGGCTGACTGTCCCCATCAATTTCATTAGCCAGTTTCATTCCATAGTGTGTTGCTGCTGTCTTGGCTATGAGTGACACAACAGTTTTTCTATCATCCTCTGAGCACAACCTGTCACTGAAAGTACGCATGCACTCATGCATCCACACCTGTACTATGTTGAGAACCGATGCTGGAGGAAAGCCTGGTTGTGAAACCTCCTTGTTCTGCTTGTTTGAGATTACAGACCTCCATAGGTACATCCCCTGAAACACCTTCTGAAGATCACGATGGGAAAATATGAAATGAGGCCTCTGCACAGAGGGCTGAAATCTGTCACTTACTGCATGATACAGCTCATTAGTAGCAGTGACAATGGAAGATGACATATCCTCACCAATGTGCCTATTAAGTGGCATTTCACTGAGCCAGATTTTTAGCCAGGGAGAATAGATAGACATTAAAATGTCTGGGGATACGCCATCAAGCACAAAGATAGAAAACAGGCGTGAGAGCCGTGGGGATATAACACCGCTGTGGGAATGATCCAATCCAGATATACAGCATGCAGCCAGGTAGCTGATAGTTCCCGACTGTAACAACTTGGAGCTGTAGGTGTCAAATGTTAGAATCTCTCCTTTTGAAATACTCTGTCTTAGTGTCTCTAGAGCCATTGCAGACGTTCCAAAGACGTCTATGAACAAAAATGACAGGCATAATGACAACATAAAGATTCACACTGCACTAAATCTGGTTCAAACTGAATCACATAAATTCTGTTATAAATTGTGTTACTCACCACAGGGGGCTTCATGTAAATCATCAACAAACAAAAACAAGCGTGGCTGGTTTGCCGTGAAGTCAGTAGTCTCTTTACAGTTCTTCTGGCATCTGATGCTTTTCAGTATAGTGTGCAAGTCTCTGGAGCTCAGAAGTGGACTGGCTGGTAGGTTAATGTGCGGCTTGTTAAAAGTCAGCACAGTTTGGCACAGTGTGGTTTTTCCAGAGCCAGGCTCTCCAGAAACCAAAACTGGCTGCTTTGCCTCCAGCATGAGGTTCAGGAGATATGTGTATTTCCTGTACTATGACAAACATTTGAGACACCTGTAAATATTCAGAAGCAGCGACAAATACTGTATGTATTCTAAGTATAATAGGTACAATGTTAAGTACAAACCATTGGGATGACAGAGTCTGTCGACAGCGTATTCTTGGGGCACATCTTAGTGTCAATACTAAAGAAGTGTTCATACACACTGACTTCATCAGGGACCACAATTTTGTATCTGCAAGTTAGGAGCACTTGGCGGGCTAATAAATCAAACTGTGGCCAGTGGCTAAATAAAAACAGAAATATATGAAGAACACTGGTTACAGAGAGTAATATCGACAGGCGGTAGTAGAATTCAATATGTGTAAATATATAATGTGTGACCAAGTAAAAAAGTTTAATAAAAAAAAAATCTTACCGAGAATGAAGGCGACCACCAAATCCCCAGATATAAGCCAGGAGAAAAATGTTTCTGCTGAGCTGCTCCTGCTTACTTTGGGCACCTGTGGCTGCTGGAGGCATATCTGGTAGAGGGGAAAGACATGACGTTTTTGTAAGGGTAACATAATTATGCCATGCTTACAGGGTTTTACATTTGTTACAAGTTATTTTACCTGTTGTGTCGATATGTGCCACTGACTCAGGTTTTTCTACTTCCTTTCCAAAATGTTGTAGGAGGGCATGCAGGATCCTGACAAATGACATGACTTCTTGCAGTCCGTATGTGGGGGCTTTGCAAGATTTTCTTTCAGTGTGGATTGCAGAGGTTAAACTCCTTTGCCCAAGCAAATGAAGGGTGCTAGAGAAAAGATCTTCAGCCAAGTGATTCCACATTTTCACAATTCTCTGATCTAGTTTGTATTTAAAGGAGAGAGCATCAATTTCACTCTTCCACACAGACTTCCACAGATCATCTCCTGTGACATAAACAAGGCTGCAGCGGGTCACTGCAGAGGGGCTTGCATTGCATAGGTCAGTGACTTCCATAAGCAGCTTTAGTTTCGACTGAGACAACAATGTCTCACCTGACGACAGACCCAGAAAGGCATCCTGAGACCTGCACAGTGTGGTCAGGTAATCTAACCAGCCGGGCTGCCCCACAGGCTCCCCATCCATCACCAGCCACTTCACTACTACTGTCTCATCAGTTTTCTTCTCATTGTTACAGAGTTTAAAGCCTGCATGCTCACGCCGTCCTGCATCTCGCAGCACCTTTGCCAGAGCTCCATCTATCCATCCTCTCTTTTCACAGAAGCAGCCAAATATCTCATCATGGGACATAGCGTTAGGAAATAAGACTAAAGTTTCAACAAAGCTCCAGTTTGAAAGAGATATCTTTTGATCTGCCTGTGGAGAGCCTGCATCAATCGTATTTTCCTTGTCAAAAAACAACTCCACTGTCTTAGCAGCCAGGCTATTCAGTGCTCCAGTCAGAGCAGTGTAACAGGTGCTTTTTCCGCTCCCGGGGGGCCCTATAAGCAAAACTGCCTGAGACAATTTCATGGTCTGGTAGAGTGTAAGAGCATTGCAAATGATGTCTGTGTCACAACAGAAGTGTTTTTGTTGTATTTCTTCTCTAAGTGCATCTTCAAGTTGGTTCTTTTCAGCTTCTTCAATAAATTGTTGGACAAGCGGAAACTGGCATGCTATAGGAAAAGCGTCTTTGAAAAGGATGTAGAACTGTGAGGTGGCTTTCTTCTCAGGCGGCAATACAGAATGAATGGCTCTGACAATTGCTTCCTCTTCCATTAAACTGTGTACAACCATCAAATAACAACGGTGTGACTTTGGAGGCTTTTCAGTTTTCCTTCCGTCCTCCTCAAAAGGTTTGATAGGCTCATTTTGTGACGACATAAGATCAGTGTCGAGCGAATCTTTGGACTCCTTTGAATTTTCTCGTCTCCTTACAACCTGCTGCAAATGTCTTTCAGAAGCTGAGATGATCTTTTGCAGGATAACAAGAAAGCAGCTGTCATTGTCAGAGAAAAGATCAGGTAGACAATGGGACTCTTGAGCCAGGCTAATGAGGGACACCAGACGTTGACTTAACGACATAGCGTCTGAAAAACCAATGGAAGTTAGCATTACTTCGGCAATTATTCTGTAATCTGGACGTGTTAATGCAACAGATCTTGTAGCAAATCGCAGACTTTCAAGAACTCTAGATATATTTTCTTTTGATGAGATGGCAACACATCCATAGCCGAGACTGGCAGAAATGTGTTTTCCTGCAAGTGTCATGTGACATTCTGACTCAGCAGCATTTGTGAACCCCGCAACCCCATCAGAAATTTTTATCTCTGTCTCACAATTTAGCCTCTCCTTTTTATTTCTTCTTAACATGTTGAAGGACTGGTGTATGTCAACAAGATGCTGTCCTAGTATTGACAGATCACTGTGTGTTAGCAAGTCCACAGAGTTCAACACAAGCCATGCCCCTGCCTGAAGGGCCCCAACCAACATCCGCTGAATAACACGAGGCATCATGCTTGGATAACACTGTTTTAGGACAACCTGTCGCCCCAGCGCTTTTCCTAACTGGATCACAGTATTTTTCTTTCCAGACATGGAAGGGCCACCCACAGAACAACATCTGTAGGTTGTCAGAGCAATGACAATCCCTAGTATTGCCCGGTCTGTGCAAGGGGTATGCACCATCTCCCACTCTCCTGGGCCAGAGTATTCAAAGCTGTACTGGAGCTGATGGCCCAAAATATCCACAAAACATGTTGGATCATTATTCTCCTCTGAGTTAATATAATATTTCATACAACTCAGCCATTCAAAAGATGACTCCCGCGCACACGGAACATCCATCAGTCGATGTAGTTGCTCTGCATGATTCATTGTAAGTTGCAGTAAAGCTCGCAGACACATCATTATGTACTTGGAAACTTGAGTTCCAGTTTTAGATCCTGTGACTCCGTCTCTTATATAATGGCTAAGGTCTTTCAGCTTTGCGGCGACATGTGCCTTTATGGTGCTGAACTTCACTGAGCTCGATTCTTGGAAAGCTTGTAGAACAACACTGCACCACATTGCCTTCTCCACCACCAGAAGGCACTCAAGAGGATATTCAGAAAGCAGGCCCAGCACAGCTACCGCACTGGAGAGCTGGTTGTCTCTAGCTTTCGTGTCACTTGCTAAATTTTGACTGGATGATTCGAGCTGTTTTCTCACAGCAGCACACTGTGTCAGAAGCTGTACCATGGTCAACTTTAATTCTTTCTCAAAGTTACAAAACCACTTCAAAGCGTCCGCATTTGGTTCTAAAGGAGACTGAAAGGCAACGTGTTCTTGGAAGCTGCCAAAAATACCCAGCACCTTCATCTGCCTCTGGCACTCAGATATAGAATCACCATCTCTTTGTATTTCACAGTCAACTTCAAGCAAATGAACCCCTTTAAAGCTTTTTTTAACAAAGGGTTGAAATTCAAAAGGTGTTGGGTCCAAAGAGAGTATCTGCATCACTTCCCCTTCACTCAAAAACCAGAATCTGGGACACTCTTCACAGAGGTCATCAAGAAGATCTGACATTTGTTTTGAAATGACTTCCATTGCAGACAAACCATTAAGAAGAACCTGGCAAAGGCTATCACCACGAAATCTCTCATTTGTTTCAGTGGAAACTAAGTTCAACACACGAGGTTCGTTTGATATAGAGGTCATCATTTCCTCGAATGTCTCATCAACTGGTTGAAAATGCTTCAGCTATATATAAAAAAAAAAAAAAAAAGATTAAAAAAAACATCATTAATCAAACACACTGACTTCATCAACTGTCATTCGTGACAGGTTTAAGGCACAAGAACCTACCAGGTCCATTCTTTGAGTACGGAAAAATGTCCCACCAAGCACGTTGGTTAAGAAGGCCCACATTTGCTGATATCTTTCAAGTAAAGCAAGCAGCTTCTCTACAAATATTTAAAGGGAAAAGAATTCTTACAAGTCTGTTTGAACTTTTTATGGACATTAAGATAAATTCTTTACTCTCTTAGTCTTTCAATTTTTAAAGATAAAATTAGTTGCCACTTTACCAAGTTCTTGTAGTGTTTGAATCCAGTCCTCCAGCGGCAGCCTGAACTCAACACTGTATGGGGACTTTAACATTGTGGACAGCATCATCAAACTGGTCTCAATCTCAGCAAAGTGTACTCCCAGATCTGTGTGAGGAAACACAAAGCAAATGTAAGCAACATGTAAGCTGAATATACCAAATACACATTTCCTCCAAGCAGGGCAGCTAGAAGGTAATTCAAAAATGATGCTTACAGTGACTTGAGCCTCACCTATAGTAAATCTAGGATCACTGGGGGGTTTCCTGTCAGTTAGCACATTGAGAAGGGCACCTTCTGTGGTCTTCCCAGTGTGTTTGCACCGTGTTTCCACGCAAAGGGGAGCAAATACATCCAACTGAAAGAGTTTGCCTTCCCATCTGTGACAAAGCTTTTGGAAAGTTTGCTTCATGTCACACTCCCTGTGTGCACATCTGCATATCTGACAAAATAAAAACGCAGCGTCTTATGTCAGATTCGTATTGCGTGTTTTCAAAAGCAACTATTTCAGCAGACTGTTTGCCTGTTATTTCCCTTTAGCAGAACTGCCAAAGCTGCTCTAGTTAAGACCTCTCTCGTGTTCTACCTTGTCAATCAGATTCTGATGACTTTCAAGTTGTTGAGACATGAGATCAGCAACAGTCACATTCTTCTCTGATTTATATTTTAGGCCCAGGTCTGCACAAGAGAACATATATTTCAGTTCTATTACATTTACTGTGATTTCAGAAGCATGGAAGTGCTATAGCATAGGCACACTCTCTGACCTTCTAAAATGGCTCTCCAGTGTTTTCCTTTCAGTGTGGGGCTCTGTAGCTTGGCCAGGACTAAAAGCTGATGGCTTATGTTTTCCAGAGATCCTAAAATCTCCTGCAGCACTGCATCACTGGCAGGTATGGTGATTGTTAAAGATTGAGCCTGCTCCTTCCACTCTGTAATTTTATCCTGAGCTTCAGAGACCACAACCTGACAGAAAAATGGATCTGTTAGTTGTCTGTTGGCAATATTTATACCTCAGGGTTTGCTATAATAACAAACCATTATTTATACATCTATACAGTTTAAATAACAGTAGATATAATTTATATAAGTAAAGTGCTTTATTTAATGACCTATTATAAACTCAGAAAAACATGTCTTTTAGAAATGTGGCACCACACTGGAATTTTTTTAATTAATTAAGAAATTAATCAAGCATAAAATTCAACCACTAATTCTTCTGTTCAGGAATGCTAGCAAATAAGCGTAATTTGGCATCTTGATCAAAAATAATAATTTGATTTACTATTTTTTACAGTTTTTTTGAAAAACAGCAGATTAAAAAATTGACATATAACATTAATTATATTTTAGCAGTAAAAGTATCATTTTGATTAATGGGCTTGCACATACTGGTGGATTAACCAGTACAGAAGCATCAAAAATGATTGTAGCCATTATGTACACTTAGCATAGCCATGGCCTAACATGACTGTATCATGGGGTAACCTGTGATTGACATACCCCATTGCAATTTTTTGGTCCAAAGAAATAAATATGTCATCTCATTAACACGAGAGGCGGTTCTTGACTCTGAATATGTTTAACAGAGAAAAAGGTTGATTTCATGTTACCTCACTAAAAACCATTGGCTTCCATTCTTCCAGCCATGTAGTATAGACTGCTATCAGTTCCCACAAGTCTTTGCGGGCTATGACCTTCTGAACATCTGTGGTCAATACGGTGAGATCTATTGTATGTTCTAATAGGAAGCAGAATAGAGAGAATAAACATGCTTTTTGTAAGCACCTGTTTGTTTAATCTTCACCAAACCAAACCTTTCAACCCTTCAAATATTCAAAATACAGCATCATCTCACCTCCCATCTCTTGACTGCTCCTACTAAGCAGTTCCAGCTTTGCACTGAGAGTGTTTAAATGCATGCACATGTAGTTCAGTTTGGACATCATCTCTTTGGCATTTTGGCCAGGATCAAGGAAGGGTCCAGATGTAGAGTCAGAGACGATATTTTTAAGGTCACAGAACAGAAATGAGAACATCATGTCCAGTGCTTTAGCCATTGAAGGATGATGGCAGCAAACAAGGTCGCCTGCTTCCTTCAACAGGGGAATAAAGCAATTCCACAAGTTCAGCATCTAAATATAAAACACAAACAGAAGCACGAGGCGTTACCTGAGCGCACTCACATCCCATGTAAAGCCATGATACGCTTAATATTGTGGTTATTTATAGCGTATTTGCCATTTCTTTGCATTTGCTTTCAGACCTTTTCTTCCACAGTCAACTCCGCCTCTGTCATATTCCTATAGTTCATGCAAATTGTGTTTTGAAGAGACTGAATGTACTCCAAATGTTTCTGTTTGTCAGGCAAGACCTTCACAAATTCCCTCACCTGTCAAAGGAAAAATTTTGATTTATAGTTTTGCTTAGATTGCTTAGAATTTAACTACATACATACATACATACACACAGATAGATAGATAGATAGATAGATAGATAGATAGATAGATAGATAGATAGATAGATAGATAGATAGATAGATAGATAGAGACTAGGGTTCTTCACTACTGCGCCTTCAAACAACAGCATGTACATCTTAATGCAGTAAGCATCACCTGGATAAAGGCATCTAAATTCAGAACACATTCACCCTGACAAAGCAGTCTTTGATGTAAATAATTTAGCTGAAGTCAAGAGACAAGAAAAGAGGTGCCTCCAGAGGATGTGAATGTTCTGACCACCCTCCTTCTTTGGGTACATCACAAAAAAGTAGCCTAAAGTCTTTACCGAGGACTTTTTTTTCTCCTCCCTTACAAGACTATCTATCTGTTTCTCCTATATTTTATCACATTCTACACTTTTTTGCAAATAAGTAATTTTAAAAAGTTTCTGTACCCTAAGAGCATATTTTGAGAAGTCACGCAAGTCTTGAGGTGCTGTCTTGAGTTCAGAAGTAGCTCCCTCCAAATATGATATGAGGCTCTCTGACTCCTTCCTTATCTGCTCAACTAGTTGCTCTTGCACTTCTTCTTCGATGAACCTCAGCCGTTGCCCTGGAGAAACACAGGGAGAGACGAGGAGGGCATTTATCATGAAGAACAAAGCGTAAGTAATGAATTTATCTACCGAGGGCCAGGACATTAAAGCACTTCACGATTTTAAAAAGTCACTGAACAATTAGTTCCTCCTTCTTGAAGCTATGCTGAATTTACCAAAGAAAGGTCCTTGCATATGAAAGTATTTGAATCTTCAAGCTATACTCAAGATACAGTTTCAATTTTATTCGATAAAGACATACCTAGAGCTTCCTTTGTGTGGGTGCAGTGGATGACGAACAGCTGATTGGAGGAAGAAAATGACGAGTCAGCTACACTGATTCTTTCAGCCCAGTTGCGCACCTTCCTAATGTTCTCCTCGTACACTGACGCAGGCCGACCCCTCATGGATTCCAAAGAGGCTCGACTCCACTGACAAATAAACAAATGGATCTGCACCATCCATGCGTAGCTCTCATACAGCTGTTGGATCTCTAGTTCGGCTTCCTGTCCAGAGAAAAACAAAACACCTGTATAAATTTGATTGTTTGATTAATGCATTTAATACGGCTATTACGGGACTTGAAAGTGACAGTCTTGCCTGCATGATCTTAGACTGCTCCTTCTCAACTTCTTTTGTGATGTCATTGATGCTGATGTGCCACTCTAGCTGGCTTTTGGAGAGAGGAGAGTAGCAGCCATGCACCATGTTGCCTTGCACCACTGGAAAAGCAACTTTAGGCAGTGTCTGCCAGCAAGCTGACATATCTCTCAGAAACTGACTAGTGTTCTCATCAGTGTTTTTGTCCACTGGGAATGAAAAAAAGAAAAAAAATTCTGTGACACATTTAGACCAGGCCCAGGCACCCTTTCACATCAATACTGAGGGTTTATATCAGAAGGAGCTCATATAAAGGAAACAGGAGCCGTAACACTCCAATACAAAAGGTCATACCTGTATTTACAGAAGGGTTAATACAGCTGAAGTCATCATCTAAATCCTGAGCAGAGATTAACACATCTTTGCTGACCTCTAGGAAAAACCCGCAGTCATCACATTTCTACAAGTAATGAAAGCTGATGTGAGACAAACTCATGGCTGCTGCTTGACTAAACATAAAGAAAACACTGATGTGATTATACTATGCATAATTGTTTGATGTGAAGTAAACACAAGCAGACAGTCTCAAAGGCCAAATTTAAATCAGGCTTATTCACAGAACATAGAGCGAGAGAAACAATTATTTGACCCCCTGCTGACATTGAAGTTTGCTTATTCACAAAGAAATGAACAGTATGTCGTTTTTATGGTAGTTTTATTTTAATGGAGAGAGACAGAATATCAACCCCAAAAAAATCCAGAAAAAAACAAAATCTATAAATGTTAAAGTAATCGGTATGTTATTGAGCTAAATAACTATTTTCTGCCTTAAAACGCAGCCCTCGTGGCACAAAGATTACAACCAATCAATCAAAGCACACCACTTACATTCCTGTCATGGTCCTCCAGTCCTCTTGTGCTGGCTCATTCATTTCGTCTTGCTCCTCTCTGCAATTTCTATCTCTCCTTTCTCTGTGTGTGAGTGCATGTGTGTGTTTGTGTGAATGACTAACCACACCTTGTGTTTCAGTGGCAAGATTCTCCCCTGCTGCCTGCCCTTCAGGTCAGCGCAACTGAGTTGATTAATTCCCATGTTGGTAATCGTCTGATCAGTATTGATTAGCATTGATTGATTAGCCTTCATTTGTCGCCTGATCATTAGACTGGAAACAGAGAAGTTGGCTCACCTGCTCGTTCTTCTCTGCGTAATTTCAGAGTGAGTTACTGCGAGAGACAGAATTCCTGTGGAGAAATATTCTGCGGACTTGTCTGTACCAGAGCTTAGGAATCAGTAACTGGAAATCCTTCTGTTGTCACATTCTGTTGTTGTCTCACTTTAATTCCTCCGAGTCTGCATCTTGAATCTAATCAGTCCATCAGTTATGACAAATCCACCTTCCCTACCACAATGGGCAAGACCAAAGAGCTGCTTGCTTTGGGGCAAGATGACTTCACCACATTGAGGGGAGAACGTATTGGGCTATGTACTGTAAGATCTTGATTGAGAACCTCTTTTCCGCAGTCAAAACACTGAAGATGGGTCATTTCAGCATAACAATGACTCGAAAACATACCACCAAGGCAACACTGAAGTGGCTAGCAAAAAGTACATTAAGATGATGGAGGGGCCTTGCTAGTCTCCAGACCCAATTTTGTAGAAAATCTGTTGGAGGAGCTGAAGATTCGAGTTACCAAGCAGCAGCCAAAAAACCTAAAGGATTTAAAGAGTTTCTGAAATGAGGAATGGGCCAAAAGCCCTCCTGGTGACCAAGTAGAAGAAACGTGTTATATCTCTGTTCCTCTTCACCAAGTACTAAGTTGCGTTTTACTTGAGGATCGAATGTTTATTTTATTCAGTGACATGCAAATCAATTTAAAACTTTTCTGTAATGTTTTTTGTCTGGATTTTGTGTTAATATTCTGTCTCTCTCCATTAAAATGAAACAACCATAAAAATTAGAAACTGTTCATTTCTTTGGAAGTGACCAAACTTACTAATTCAGCAGAGCATCCAATAATTATTTCCCCTCTGTACATGATGATTGCCTTGCAGAAATGAAACTGCTCCTGTGTTTGCATCTGCTGAAACGTGTAAATTACCTGAATAATAGAGTCGCCTACAGTGAGAAGTGCTTGGCTCACTGCTTCTTTGAACAGATGTATTGGCGGCTCCACCGTCAGCCGATTATCAGCACTGAAACGCAGCTCGGTGTGGAAGAGACAGCACTTTGGCAGTTCCTTCCTCTAACGAATGAAAATACACATAAAGTTAATTTCATTAAATATAACTTCATTGTCATTTTACTTTATCTAACACATCATCTGTTACTTCATGCAGCAGTGGTGCTCCACAGTTATTGTAGGTTTATATCAGTAATTCTTCTGGTTATTGTTTGAGAACAGTAAACAATACAAATACTGGGTGAAAGAGAAGAATAAAGACTTGTACAGCTAAAATCAACATTTTTTCCAACCACAAACAGTTAATAAGAGTTCATTTTCAACCTTTAAAAGATCGAGAAATGAAAAAGCATCTTCTAGTATGACTGTCACGAGACTCTGCACAATCATCTGATGCACAAGAGCTGCAAAATTTCCCAATTTCTTCAAGGTGCTTTCAGACTGGGCCAACTCTTTCTTCAGCTTGCGCTGATGAGCCATGAGCAAATGTATGGGTTTGTGGAAGCTCTTTGGATCGTTAGCGAGTTTTAAGTGTAGCTGCAGCTCCTGGTGTTTCTTATAGCTGTCTTCTTTCACCTGAGGATATAAAATTGTCTTTAGAGATCATTTGATTTAAAAAAAAAAAAAAAAAAGGCTTTGTTGTCTCTTATGATGAAACCATAAAACTTGACTGTGGTGTAGTACCATATTTAGGGTGAGAGTGTGATACTGTGATAACTTCTCCAATATCTGCAGACACTCTTGATTCTTGCTTATCAGTATGTTCTTGAATTCCGTCAATGTGTGGCATTCACAGACATCCAGAGGCATCCAGTGTGTCTCTTTTAGTTCTTCAATTACTCTGTCAAAGATATTTTATTGTTGAAAATCTGAACCTGTCTCAAAGTTGAAAACTTTAGACTGTGGCTGGCTTTAACTCACCCTTTTAATAGATGCAGGGCATTCCTGAACTGAGGTACAGCTATGAGCAGCATGTCCTCCAGATTCTTGCTCCGGCGCTGAAAAATTCTCTTGCGTGTGTTTTGATGCCACCTGGGGGAAAAAAACATACAATTCAAAGGAAACAATAAATGTAAAGAAAAAAGGAAATAGTTTATACACTGAGTTATGCAAAATGTATAAAATTAACATTTATTACCAGAAAAAAGCTTTCTGCAGTCTAAAGTCCCTGAAAAATGCAATTTTCTGCAAATCTGTCCACAGCACATACTGCCTATACCACTCTGCCAGACTGACAGTTCCACCAATACCCGTCTGGGTAACATGCAGGACAGTTTTAAGGGTGAAGACATAGTGCTCAGGACCAGCTTCACTGGAATGGACAACTCGCAGGTCATAGGGTCTAAAAACAAAGAGGACATGCGTCAGTGGATTCATGGTTTGACAAGGGAAGATTTACCAAACCATGAAACTCAACTCAAGTGTTAAATATCCTTTCTCATCTTTACCTGTAAGCATCCCCATCTACTGTTTTGAGGTAATAAATCTCATATTCTCCCAGGTCTCTTTTCTGAAACAAAATTTGAACAACTTCTGCACCAGTGAGGGGAGATATACTTGGTTTGGTAGCCCTCCCATGTTTCAAGGTTGCTATCTTTTTATACTTGCAAGCTTTGGCTGTTTTTGATTCACCTTTTTCCTGAATACTGAAAAAATAAAACACAAGAAATTCATTTAGGAGTTTCTCTCATTTACAGGAAGTGTGACAACAATTTTATTTGTTGATGCTATAAATTATAACTATCTTTAACATAAATGCTATCTGGAATGACACTTACACCCAACAAATACTGTATTGAAAAGTATCACAAAAGCCAAAGTCTAATTATCTGTAAGTATTATTATGTACCTCTCTGTTGTCGACTGAGTAATTCTAACAGGGATTTCTGTCCCTAGTGTTGAAGCCATTAATTGAGGTCCTTCTTTCCATTTTGTGTCGCCTGTGGCTATCCCAGGTCCTACTTTAGCAATAATATGAGGCAAGTCTGCCAATGACAAATGTCCATCAGAGTGGACATTTTTGAGGAGAGAGGAACAACTGAACAGGGGCTTGGCTGCAGAAGCTGATAAGATACAAAACGGCTCCGGGCACAGAGGTGGTAAAGTCACTTTAGGAGAGTGAGTCTTTTTCTTCGCCTTGTGACCAGGCCTAGCAACATCTTTACCACGGCTCTGAGACGATCCATCACGGGATCTTTCCTGTGAGGCGGCAGTAAACATCCTGATCTCCAGGGAACACCATCAGCAGCTCTCGTGTCACAAACCGGTGTTAATCATGCAATAGGACTTACTCTGGAATTTCTGAGGAGGGGGACAAATAGGTAAATTTAGCCTGAATCACAAACTATACTGGCACAATATATAAACCCTGCATTTTTAACTAAGCTTTAAAACTGTAGACAGATGTACTGCATATGAAATTGTAGCAGCAAACACAATTTTAGGTAGTGAATAGCTTTGAAGTACTACTACTTATACTTCTTTCTAGTTAAACCAGTTCCACATTCACACAGATGTTCATTCAAAGCTTTTCATTGATTTAAATAAAAAAGAATGCTGTACACAATAGCAGGGGGATGACTGAGACGACACTACAATACGTTTAAAACGTCGGACTTTCTGATAAAATTGAGGAAGTCTCTCAAATTTAAATCGAATAAAACCACTGTCTAGTGCAAGTACATCCAACACAAATAAACAACACACAAAGAGACTCTTGGATACAGTATATATTTCGCTGCCTTAGTCAGATCGTGCAGTTGAAAATGACATTTTATCCTTTTAAATAAGCATAAGGAGACGAGCCTCAAATAAGCTAGCAAGTTGCTAAACTTGTTATAAAAAGTTAACAGATACTTTAGTAAACTAAAGACGTGGTCCTTACCCAAGTTTAACGGACTAACAGTGAAGCTCAGCGTTTACACAACTAGAAAGCATCGGACGTTAGCTCCGAAGCTCAAAAAACTACTTTTAATAAACCAAATATTAAACTAAGAACTAACAAATACTTCAGCGAGTCTTACCTGTGAAGTTGTTACTACGAAGGCTCGTTGCCACGGTAACGCACAGACGCTTACGCTGGTCTGCAGAGTTGGTGGGTCTGATTGAGAAAGTCAAGCACGCCGAGTTTAAACTGTTCGTGGTGACCTTTAACCTCGCTGCTTTTCGGAATAATAGCAGCAAGAAACAATGTATGACTTTTTTTTGGATGTTTTTAGGTGGCAGAGCGTTTATTAAGTGTCTTATAAAAGTTATATTTAATGTATTATAATCAATGTTATAAACAGCATCTTTTCATACTCAGAAAATAGGCCTAAACCCCAATCTCTAATAGATATTTTTATTATACTTAGGAAAATAAAATCACAGGTGGAATATAGCGTATTTTAAATATTACTGATGACTTCACTTTTACACCACATGGCAAGAAGTTTTTTTTTCCTCTCCTATTAGATGTCAAATTGCCTGCTCAGGGAACCTTTAGGGAACATTCCCTGAAGGTTCCCTTGTTTGCTGGGTCATCTGTAACAGAAATTCATCCTTTAAAAATCCAATCTGGACAATGCGACAGACAAAAACATACTCATCAAGAAGTCCAGTATGACCATGTCTATGAAGTCCACCAGTCGTGTGCCCTTGTCGTATGGCGGTGTCTTTTTCACCGTGGAGCAGTACTCAGGTTCTGTCTCCCACCTGAAAACCACGGTCTTTGTAAGATAAAATAGAGCAGGAACATCCAGCTTTTTATTAGCATTCAAATGAGCCACAGCTCATTATTCAAATGGATTGAATGATCACCTCCAGCAGAAAACTAAATCATGTTAACTACATCCCATGATGTACAGCGTAATTAATCAAAGTTTTATAAGTTTCTGTTAAAGAAATGAACATTAAGTTCACAGCCTACTTATACAGAAGTGTCAAGTGTAGGAAATATGAGGACAGCTATCTGGGAACTGCAGGCAGTTTCTAAATGTAGGATTTCTATTCTGTTTTTACAGGATACATAAGACTAAACAGCAGTTAGATATTTGCGAGGAACATATACTTTAGGTAAGTAAACCTGTTTCAAGAGACACAAGAACAGCAGGCTACATGGGGTGGGAGTTTAGAAGATGCTGGGATACTACATCCTGCAGCACTTGGTAAACATTGCAGTAATGAGGTATGATTGTAGCTCAGCTGCAGGGGGAGAGGTGGAGCAGAGGTTTCAGGGGGCAGTGCCAGGAGAGGCTGGCTGGCACAGCTGTTTCACAGCCTCTGATTTTGCCTCTCTTATTTATGCAGTAGTGCGGTGCGGTGGGACCAGAGGGTGGGAAGATGAGTATGAAGAGCAGCTGGCAAAGAAGCAATCTAGAGATCAGTGTGCAGTTGTGCGTGTTGGCCAGGAGGTGCTAAAAACACGCTATGATTTGTATTGTGAATTTTACAAACCGAATACAAATAGTTACTCATGTGCTTCTCGTATTTTTCAACGACTTTGATTGGCGAATAAACCAAATGAATGCAAATAGTCAGCAATCAGCCAACAAACCGTCACCAGCTTCATGCACACAGCAAAATCTCCCCTGTTAAATTAACACTAGAGAGTGTCTATATGTGTCCACTCACCTGAGTGTTAAATATAACACTGTTGAGTGTTAAATGAACACTTTTGACAGTGTTATATTTTTAAAAGTAACCTAGTCAGCTCTGAAGATTTACAATGACTAACACCGAGCAGCGCTGATTTTCTAACACTGGAATATTTCTAACATTTTGAGTTATTTTCCAGTGTTAGAAAATCAGCACTGCTCGGTGTTAGTATAGTACTAGTGTTAATTTAACACTGGAGATTTTGCTGTGCACGGATCAGGCAGGAATGGAATCACCAAGGAAACAGGATTTGGTTCACGAGCTAATATCCAGCCTGCCACGGGGAACTGCAGTAGTTATGAAGCACAAGTGTCGACACTTTAATGCTGACTCTTTGCATATCTTTGATTTATTTGCCAGTTATGACAGTTAGAGTTATGACATGCTTATGTTTGCTATTTGCTAAACCATAGAAACAAAACAAATTAGGTGGCAAAGTGTATCAAATTTATGCCACTGCTAAAACTTTTGTAAACACTATATTAATAACGTTGTACTAATATAGTGCAGGGTGTAAGCTTTCCTTTATCACTGAGCACATTTGTTTTCTGTATGGCTGGACAGCCCAGGGCGTCCACTAACTTTGCCAGCTTGCTTCGGCTGTAGGAACGTCTCCACGGAGATCTCCAGGTCCTGCGCCTTGCCAGGGAGAGATCTGGTAACATGACAGCCAAGGAGCCCTCCAGGTCCCTGGGGCGGCCGCACACAGCGTGCTCTGTTGAGCAATAGTAGGAGCACTGGCCGTAGAAGCACTCATTTCCCACTAGGGGGAGCCAGAGGTGCACAGAGAAGGAGAAAAGCAAGAAAATGAACAGGAAAAAATGACAGAAAAATGTTTTTGGTGATGTGAAAATATGAAAAATGAAATGAATTTATAATAGGTTGACATATGAGGGCGTTTAAAGCCTGCTGAATTAATAAAGGGTGTACTGGAGTGTTACCAGGGGAGGCAAAAAAGGTTCGTGCCAGCTTGCGGTCAGTAGTGATGTCTTTGATCTCCTTGACCACATCCACCAGCCTCCCAGCCACAGGGGGGATTCTCCTGTAACCCAAAATCCTGCAGAGAGTGTGAAACAAAGTGTGAGATGAGGACAGGATTAAGTGCAGAGATAAAAGACCCCCAAAAAAAGGCTGAGAAGAGAAGAGATAAGAAACTATAATAGTGTTACATAACTTCCATTTTTTATGTGGCTATTTTGTCCACCGTTTCCCTTGTGGTGCTCTCTGTAACAGTGTGTTGCTGTGCCCTTTTGGATAAGAGAAATTTGACTTGATACCTATCCAGATGAAAAGCTGCAATTTCTGCATTGTGCCGCTCAAAGTCAGAGAAATAGTACAGGTTGTAGTTGGTTTCTTCATCTCTCTCCTGCCTGTCAGCAAAGATAAAAATGCACATCAGAAAGAGTCTATTTATTGACTCACTAGATTTGAACAAGCGCACACAGACAGTAGGAGTTTGAGACACCTTTTTTCTACTATTCACTCAAACAAGACAGCTGTCTGACGACTTAGACATCCATCTTTCCCATCTCCACTTATTGTTCTTGTTTCAAGAGGCCATAAAGGAGTCTTATACACACTGAGAGCTATGATGACTGTGTAGGGGTTTGCCATTAGCAGCTTACTTCATGGGCTTGAACATGGCTTGTCCATAGTTGGGAAATGACATCACCAGCTTCAACTGAGTACCCCCAGATTTCTGCACTGTAATACAATACAGAGGGTGTTACCATAGCAACAAAGTGCATACACACTCACAAACACACAAATACAGACAAATAATACGCTACGCTGTGACAATACACTGGCCATTGTTCAGGAAAAAGCACATACACAGATGCACGCGCACAGACACACACACACACACACATAAATTGTGATAGCAGAGACTTTATTTCCTAGAAAGACTTTGGAAAAAGAGCAAATGTGTGTCATCATGCAAATAGCACATTTCTATCAATCTGAGGATAAACACCAAAATGTCCACACAACGTGTTTCTCACACATATTGACACTTCACAAAGACAATGTACATCTACCACAAACAGCATCATAAGGTCATGTGTCTATGCAGTGCTGTAAAAACCTAAGCACACTCTTACTGCTTCCACAGTTAAGAGGGTAAGTAGCAGCCAGGCACTGATAATTAAATGCACAGCATTAATGCGACCGCCTCTGTTAAAGCAGAAGTTTTCAGGTGTGTGTTAACACAATCGTCTCAGGAATGGACATCCCAGAAAATTCAACCCAGGTCAGGTGAGACCCTGTAATGCTCAGAAAAACTGCAAAAAACCCAAGAGATACATCTCAGACTCTACAAGCATCAGTTAGCAGGTTAAATGTTACAGTTCGGAGCACCAGATCATTGTGTTGATCATGAACTAACAATATATAACAATTATTTTAGGGTCAAATGTGTGTTTCTGACCACTAAAACTGGGTCACGCAACAGGATCTTGATTCCAAGCACAACAGCAAATCTAGAACAGAGTGACTGAAAAAGAGGTGCTGCTACGACCCAGTCAATGTGCAGGCCTTCACCTGACTGACTAAATTCAGTTATTCAAGTTATTGCTGCTTCAAGTTATTGGTTCTACAAGCTACTGAATCATTCTTAGTTTTTCACTAGACTGCATTTTATAGAAACAGACAGGCAACTTGTCCAGGAAGTCACCTGACTCTCACCGTGTAACAACTGGGAGAGGCTCCATCACCCACAACCCTAAACTGGATAAATGGAAGAAAATGCATGGATGGATGGATGGATGGATAGATGGATGGATGGATGGATGGATGGATGGATGGATAGATTCTCATTTTTCCACAGTTAATGCAGTAACATTTTAACAAGAACATCTGTCCTTCACTTGCATTTTTTCTGGAAGGCTACTCTGGAAAAACTTTATAAAGCAATCCTAAGAACTTTGAAAAATCTAAATTTAAGTGATCCTGAACTGAATTTACAAATGTACTTTTCACAGTTATGCTTGCAACTGTGCTGCGATACAAACAACTGTAGTTTTAGTGAATCTCTGTGAGTCTCTTCTGGATTCCTACAATTATTTACACACATGGAGCGTGCAGCCTTGTGCTTTTCAACAACTGTTTCTTTTAACAAGGTTGTTTGAAGTTTCATTGACATGCCATGCCACACAAGGTAACAAAAAACCCATCTCAGCCTGTGTTTATGGCCTTGCTAGTTTAACCAAGGCTAAATTGTCTTTCGAAGCTGAAATAACATTTTGTTCCTACTACAAATTAATTGCTGAATCCAATCAGTGAAACACATCTTACGTCAACACTAATGTTAGGAAATGTTCGAGAGATATTGCTGCTGAATATACTGGAGCAGCTCTGAGTAGTA